TTCTTGTTCAGTTGATATAGATAGAACATGGTTTTCACTACTGAAATCTAAAAATGAGAATGGTGAATTCAAAATTGAATATTGAAAACTTCACCAATTGTCACTGAGAACTGAAACGACAGATACGAATTTGCTATTCAAATAACCATTTCTTATGTTGAGAACAGAAGCAGATTCGTTCACGAAACGTCCAAGCTAAGTGAAAATTCGATATTTTTGCTATATACCTTCATTTCTCTTCTCTAAACCTTTTTCAATACAGATTGTCACTGACAAGCTAGTGAATTCTCCTTCTAGGCTCTCTGAGAGGAAAATTCTTTATACGCAGTGAAATTTTGAAGCGAATCATCTGATTTGTCCTTACTACACGTATATTGAAATGAAATTCATATTTTCATTCTATAGAAACAGGGAGAGAAAATCCTAGAGAATCTGGAATAATAAATGTACCACTCCTCGATAAACCTTTACTGACGGTATCTATAAATCTTTTCTGGAATTATCCAAAATTTCATAAAAATCCATTACCTAAATTCCAATACCTACCTCTCCTCCTTTTTCGACCTTCGTTTGCTGTTGCTCATGAAACTGACGGAAAAATTAGAGATATTTGAAGAACATTACCTTCCTAATATTCATATTGAACTCCTGCGGGTAAAAAGTTGTTTGCGCATAGAGTGTGTGAATTGAATCTCAGTTCGTTTCTATCGAGAACATTAATTTATGCAAATTATAAGTTCATGAAATGAATCTTATGAAATCATAATGTTGAACTACTTCAGTTATTATGAAATATAATGGAAGTACGCAGAAATGTTCAATAATTTGTTGGCGAAAATGAATATTATTGCATAAACTGGGGAAATATCACGAGAGTTGATATTCAGCTGAATATCTTTATGGTTTTTTTTTCAATTGAAACCGCCGTTAATTGATGGAAATTCATGCCAAATGTGAGAACTCCACAAACGATAAGATTTCCACAAAATTCTCAGACAAACAACATGTTTCGCTAACAAAGTAGCTTCGTCAGGTGATAGATATACTGGTACAATGAACTTAACCAACCTTGGCTCGCTTAACGTTCATATATCCTACTTTCCCAACTCGAAGGATTAGTTACCTGTGGACTCATTCGATAAACCTTCATTTTCAGAAATTAGGCACAATTTCTACTTCAAAATACGGTGTACTGGATTAACTTGAGACATATTTTCCTGTTGTTGGTTTGTTCTTATTGTATATGTCGTTATAGTAGCTTTTGGCTCATTGGGAGCTCGAAACATATCCCTTATTGAAATTAAACCATGTTAACCTATCAAATGTCCTGACAAAGATTTCGAGATTCATTCTTTCTTCAAACACTACCATTCTCCTCCACTTTGAGTAGTATGGACTTCTCCACACGTTTGATATTATAATTGTTCAAGATTCCCCTCATAGTAGTAGGTAGTTGAACCTTGAAATGGGCATTTGTAATAATATGTTCTTCAGAAACAAAATTGACCTGTCTTTCCGATTTTCCATATTTTTCACTGGAAGGGAGATATTCAGCATGTTTTTCAATCGACAAGGCATTTTTCGAAAACTGCTCAACAGAAAATAATAAACTAGGGTACTGTTGAAAAAAGGATTGAACGCCATTCTCATTTGAAATTCTGAAGATAGCATCCACTCCTCCTAGGGGGTCGACCAAGAGGGCTAAAAATATTAACTTTGAGTGTCCTCTTTGAGAATGAAATTGACCTGTTTTTCAGATTCTTCATATTATTTACTGGAAGGAAGATATTGAGGGTGGGAAGGTTTCAAATTGTCCCCCTATATACAGTGTCTTTCAAAAGTATCGGAACGGTCTCATATTTCAGGAACGGCTTGAGAAAAATTCACGAAATTTTCTACAGGGTGATTATTGATGATGTCCGATTCAATGGTGGCATCGGCAATGTTGCCAAGTTTACAGTTTTTCAGATATTAGGAGTAACTTTATTTTTTCAAATGGAATACCCCATTTATTTTTATTGCAATCAATCAAGCGCCTCCTAATCACTTGAGTCCCTGGATATCACATTCGTAATTAACGTGATTTTCGAAATATGACAACATAGCATTTTCGTTCAAAAGTCTGGGAACCTTCAAATATTTTCAATACGGTTCAAGGAAAATTCATGAAATTTTATACAAGATGGTTTCTGATGATGCCCGATTCAATGGTGATATCGGCAATGTTGCCAAATCAATAGTTTTTCAGATATTGGGGATAATTGAATTTTTTCAAATAGAAAAAGTTGTTTTATCAAAAACCATTTTGTATAACATTTCATGATATTTTCTCGAGCCTTTATGAAAATATTGGACCGTTTGCAGACATTTCAACGGAGCATGTTCCCATATTTAAAAACCACACTTATTTAAAATTTGATATTTGAAGACATAAGTAATGAGGCGTCGCTGAATGTATTGCAATGAAAACAAATAGGGTATTTCATTTGGAAAAATTGAGTTACCCTCAATATCTGAAGAACTGTTGATTTGGCAACATTGCCGATATCACCATTGAATCGGGCATCATCAGAAATCATATTGTATCAAATTTCATGAATTTTCCTTGAACCGTATTGAAAATATTAGAAGCTTCCCAGACTTTTGAACGAAAATGCCATGTTGTCATATTTCGGAAACCACTTCAATTTAAAATCTGATATTTGGAGACATAAGTAATGAGGTGTCGCTGAATGTATTGCAATGAAAACAAATAGGGTATTCCATTTGAAAAAATTGAGTTACCCTAAATATCTGAAAAACTGTTGATTTGGCAACATTGCCGATATCACCATTGAATCGGGCATCATCAACAACCATCCTATCGAAGTTTTCATAAATTTTCTCCGAGCCGTTTCTGAAATATGGGACCGTTCCAGAATTTTTTAACGAAAATGCTATGTTGTCATATTTCGAAAATCACGTTTATTACGAATCTGATATTCAGGGACTCAAGTAATTAGGAGGCGCTTGATTAATTGCAATAAGAATAAATGGGGTATTCCATTTGAAAAAATAAAGGTACTCCTAATATCTGAAAAACTGTAAACTTGGCAACATTGCCGATGCCACCATTGAATCGGACATCATCAATAATCACCCTGTCGAAAATTTCGTGAATTTTTCTCAAGCCGTTCCTGAAATATGAGACCGTTCCGATACTTTTGACAGACACTGTATAGATAGAATATGATAATATAGAGGTAGAAATATGAATCTCATTCGTTAATCTCACGAAGGTTCTCAAATCGAGTCAGAATTGATTTTGGAGTCATCATAACAAGTTTCAAATAGGTAACACTCGTTACTCATCAACAAAGGGTGTCAGGGCATATAAAGAACATAGAGTCATTGAGAGAAGTGTCTGGGTTCCTAGGCTATTTTGCTTGGTGGGTACTCATAAATCATATACCTATACCTAACTGAACAAGTGTTCCAGGGCGAATGCATAGTCGGATTATTGATAAAACATCATCAAAGAGTATGCCTATCGACTTTCTAAGAATCACCAGATCAGGCATTCTTTTACAAGAATTTTGAAAATGGCAATCGGTTTGCACTCGTAACAAACTTTTATATCCGTTTTCTAATCCACCAAGTGAGGGGTGTGTTTTATCTTCTTTACAATTTCTAGATAACTGCATTTTTGAAGTCACCTTCGATAATTATTTTTATATGAATTTCAATGATGGTACTCAGGGTTAGATCCTATGTTTACTGAGTGAGATGAATAACGAATAAAATCAATAGAAAATGAATGTTTTTATCGATGAATGGAATGATGAAAGAACTAAATGATATCAATCAAATGAAAACATCAGGAAAATTGAGAATAAACTGAAACAGCAACCATTCTAATTCATGTATTCTTGATCAAATCTCCTTCATACTCTGTTCCTACACTTTTCATATCTGTTTCGCTCGTTATTTTCAACACTCTTCTATTCATCTGGTGGTATCTTCAAATTAATATTGTTTTTTGTTGCAGTTCACCTCGATTTCTTGGTCTAAACTTTTCACTCTGTTCCAGATGATCAAGGTTAATAAAAACCATCCTTTATGAGATATTCCTTCGAAAATTGAAATGGAAGTATTTGTGGCTATTCCGAATCGATTGACATTATCAAAATCTCTGAAAAAACAATGCATTACCCTTTTGTTTTGATTTTGCTGGAGTTTTTGTCATCGCAGTGGGCTAATAAATTGTGATTGATAATTTCTTTCGCTCGACAAAGTTTTGAGTAGTATATTAATAGGAAACAATTCTTGAATCGTCTTAGGAATACGAGAATACAGGGGTGGGGTGGAGCGAATTGTAACACACTGTATATAGGGATATAGAGTGAGCCTAAATAATGGTGTATTTGGTGGCATTAGAGAGCTGATGAATCATTCAACATTTTATATAGGTATGATTTCTTGAGCTAACATTTCGAGAATATCTGATGAAATTCATGATACAATAGATATTCTTTGACGTAATCAAAATCAATAGTTTGATGCAAGATGGTAATTCAGATTACTGATTACAATATCAACAGTAGTTGCAGAATCGATTATATAAGAATTATATAATATGATTAAGAATAATTTCAACTAAATATATGAATTAATAAATATAATCGTGTTTTCGATTTCAATATATTAGGGCGATGTATTCGTTGATGATGGAAAGAGATTGAGTACATTATTGAAATTATTTCCGAAAATCATTTCAATTAATAGATAAAACTACAACACTGCTATAATTCTTATGATGACTGATTATTCCAAAATTCATAAATACCTATTGAGTTGAAATAATAAAGAGCAATTATCGCTATACAAGAAATCCACAGTACCTAATTACATAAATAATAAACCTCATGCGTTCATTTCAACTACTCCATAATATTTATGGAAAGTGTAGCTGTAATAGTGCATTATTAAGGTCAGGCAGTAACAACCTCACTTTTACTTACCGGTACAGGTCAAATCAAATCCAACTCTAACGTAATATCGAGAATTCACTTCAACTCAAAATTGAAAGTACCTATTCGTCTGTAAAACAAAGTTTTCTCATGGCACGCCACTATCCTCATTCCTCATCACGCATTGTCCCCACAATCATCAGTTGAAACCGTACTCGAATAGAGGAGAAGAATACTTTGTTTTCATGTTAAATAATAACTGTTACTGAAGTAATCCCGAGTAAATAAAAAAAGGAGTAATGAATATGTGATGGTCTGTTGAGCGTTCAGGTGGTACTGTGGGTACCAGTGAATGCCACGAAAGTAGGAGAAATGTTATGGTGTTGGAGGTAGGCGCCCAGATATTTTGCAAGATTGTTACCGATCGGTCATCTTCCAGTCCTTTTCATCAGCTGATCATATTTGAAATACGCTGTGTGATTTGAATACGTAACACCTTATTCAATGACGCGCTGACTAATTTTGATAATATATAAATTTTCAAAGGAAATAAGTAGTACTCGACATACTGCTTGTGGCAAATTTGTAATATACAGGGTCATTCAATGAAAACTCCACTTCTTTTTATAGGCGCCGCCAAGATCACTTTCAGGAAGGTGCATGGCATCTGCATCTAAATACAATATTATTAGTTGATAAAATACTAACTAGCAACATATGACCTGAAGATTTCATTCGAATATTGAGTCGATTATCAGAGAAATTCTCCATATTTTCTATATATTTTCATCCCCGATAGGAAGGTGCAAGTGCTTTCTTTTGCATCTTGCTGTTGGCTCCATGCTTCTTCCCCTGTAATTAGGTAGACGAACTCGACTACTCAATTTCTGTTCTTGAGGTATCATATCTCAGGATCCCTATCAACATGCAACCCCATTTTTGAGAATTAGAGAGGAACTACTCGACCTCTAACATATTATCTTAGAGTTATCTTCATTGCGAATACCAACACTTGTGTTTCGTTTGTGTTAATCGGTTGAGATTCGAAATTAAGGAACACTGAACAGTAGCAGTAGCTTTGAATTTTCATTGCATTCTGGAACGATTTTGTTAAAACTGGTACACTGCGATGGCAGCAAAACGAATCCATAACCTATGATCTTTCGATTTTTGATGTTTTGTTTTGTTGTTTCATTTTCATCATTCATATCATCATCTTTTTTAAAACACAACAACATCAGCTGTGAAATATATTCCATTTCAAAAGTGCTTAAAAATAATAATATATGTATAATTTGCTTCAACTCATAGCTAACCATACAAAATTCGAACGCCTAACCTAACATTTCATGAATACTGGCACTACATCACCATTTCTGCACCAGTGGCCAGCAGTAAAGTTTTATCCACTAACAAGGTTCCTTGCATGCCCCGCGAAAACGTTGCCAGTAAATTTTAGTGAACGAAACGATAAAATATACTGGGCAGTTCTGTTCGGGAATATCGGAAGATGGTCTTGCATTGTACGGGTGGAAGCGCTTATGTCGAATGGCCAGTAAGTTCAGCCAGCTGATCTGACCCGTTCGGGCATTCAATTTTAAAGGCTATACTCTAATGAGGAGTGTATGCCACGCAGCCTGAAGCATTAGAGGTGTTGCGTCAGATAATTAACGAATAATGCCGATGAGTGACACCTGTTATCTTCATGATCGCTGGAAAAAAACGAGATAACAGATTGTATGATTATTGGCAAGCTAACGGTTATCATTTTGAGGAATTATTCGAATTGATCCTATTTTTGTTTGGCTTCAGCGTTTTGTATTCAAGGCTATTCTCTGTTTGGTGAATTGATCAACATAGCTATGCCATCACTTTGGTTGTCTGATGATCCATTGTAACTTTGCAAGATGAAATGAAAGATGGGTCGATCTGTATTCATGATATCATTTTGAACTGAAATCTGCAATGAAGCACCACTGAGTTATCTCAAGATTCCTCGGTATCGAGAGCCAGCCTCGTAGCCTGACTGTCAGTCCACTGTACGATGATAGCGGGTTCAGGGCGTTTGAATATTGATATATGTGTATATGCGTATGTGTCTTCAGATGAGAGTATAAATATACAGTGTGTCCCTCTTACCATGCTCACCATGGGTATCTTTTTAACGGTGAGAGATACGAGGTCGGTTAAATGACACCAAATGTGGAGACTGTCAAGGCCAACTATAATGTGGAAAAATATTTTGATAAAATCTATTCGTTTCTGTTTCATTCGCAAAAAACAGATTTTGATCAATTTCATGTCTCCTCCGTAATTTCTTCATTTATGGAAATATTTAAATAGAAATTTCACATTTTCATGGCAGCTTTTCAAAGTGATTTCGAAAAAAATATGAAATTTATACCAACTTTTCTGGAATTTGAGATATCAGCACCAACTTTAGTTTTTCGAATATAGGTCATAGCTCACTATGACTTAGTTACAAATAACTTTTTTTTCCTCCTACAGATGATATGTCGCAGTTATAGTTTTGTGTTGATAACAACGGAGTTATCGTCATTTATACAAAAAAAAATTATTTGGAAGCCGCCATCTTGGGTTTATAAATTTTAACAAGAAAATCATGATCTCCGACCTGGAAAACCCCCACTTACCAATTTTGAATGGAATCGGACCAAATCTTGTCCACCATCTTGGAGCAGCCATTCTTTTCAATTTCAACAAAAATTCTATAACTCTGATTAACTTGAAATTTGGCAGGTGTTCATAATTTCGGTGAAAATACATTTTGGAATTTTTGTTGAAATTATAAAAAATGGCTGCTCCAAGACGGCGGACAAGATTTGGTCTGATTCCATTCAAAATTGGTGAGTGGGGGTTATTGAAGTCGGAGATCATGATTTTTCTGTTGAAATCCATAAATTCAAGATGGCGGCTTCCAAATATTTTTTTGTTTTTGTATAAATGACGATAACTCCGTTGTTATCAACGCAAAACTATTACTGCGACATATCATCTGTGAGAGAACAAGGGAGTTATCTGTAACTAAGTCATAGTGGGTTATGACCTACATTTAAAAAACTAAAGTTGGTGCCAATATCTCAAATTCCAGAAGAGTTGGTATAAATTTCATACTCTTTCCGAAATCACTTTGAAAAACTGCCATGAAAATGTGAATTTCCTATTTGAATATTTTCATAAATAGAGAAGTTACGGAGGAGACATGAAAATGATCAAAATCTGTTTTTTTGCGTGTAAAACAAAAACGAATAGATTTTATCAAAATATTTTTTCACATTATAGTTGGCCTTGACAAACCCCACATTTGGTGTCATTCAACCGACCTCGTATCTCTCACCGTTAAAAAGATACCCATGGTGAGCATGGTAAGTGGGACACACTGTATATAGAACTCAACATTATTTTCAATATTATTCATTATTCACAATTGACTTTATATTATTATATTTTATATACAATCTTCTTGCCTTGCATCAGTTGATTATTCACGTATGTATCGTTACCACTATTTTTTAATGTGTTTTTTTTTTTAAATTTTAGTTATAATTTTTCGAATGATGCTCTATAAGTGAATAATGATACCTCATTTCAATCATGAAATTCTATAAATATTTAATATTAGTTATGTTTATTTCAAAATGACCAAGTTTTTCACGTTTAGGAATACAGTCTAGCTATTGGCTGAATATAGATAAAAAGTGAATCGGCCATTTTGAAATATCTGATATTTATTCACAACTTATGTCTACATTCTTATATCTTATTGGAAATGGAATGAATAAATATTATTATTATTATTATTATTAATGAAAGGCTGAACTCCAATGTAAAGCTCTCCCTATGTCACTATACTCAATACTCGCCCTGATGAATCGACGGACTCATCTAATCCGACTCAATTAGCTTCAGTTGATTGGAATTCAGAAATAATGGGCAAAGAACGTAAGATTAAAGCAAATGGATTGAGTTTGAGATAATATGAATAATTCGTGTATATAGATACATGGAATACGATGAAGTATCAAAAAATATCAATAACCGGTTGATGAGATAATGTCTACAAAGCCTTGGGCATATTTATTAATACAGAGGGAGTCAAAAATGTGTACCGAGCTGTCTGGAGGTGAGAGTACATTGAAAAATGAGTATAAATTGATGAATGAACTAATGGTCCACAATATCCTTCCATAGTTGATGAAATTGAAATAATTCTTCCGCATAACTTCTAAATGGTATATAGCGGCCACGATTTTGAAATTTCCTGCATGAGTGTATGTTGATGTAACACATTTTTCTGATACACTCCTACATTTCTCATATGGTTATGAGGGGTGTTTTCAGAGAATGGGTCATGATTTTGTGAAGACCACTTTTTTCTCGTATTCTTTTTTTTTGCGAAAAAAATTCAAAAATTCTGACGTTTATGTTCTGAACATTGTTATTGTTCAGTTCTTTGCTTAGTGATATATTCAACTAGATATTTGAAAAATTTGCAGGTTATTCGTAATGCCAAGATATTTCACGCTCAACGCGTTCCAAATTCTAGAAAAATTCCAAGGATTGTGTAGAGATTGCGTCAAAAAGAAACTTCTGAAACATACAGGGTGTGTCTCAAAAGTAGCTTACGCCTATACATTTTTGTTTCTTCGAATTTACAAATTAAATTCCGTGTGTGAGTGAAGTAGGTACATCAATATGCATTAGTTGACGTATTCGATTATTCACTGTCACTTCTGCTATGACCAGAAATGACCCATATGTCATCATTTTGAATGGGACACCCGGTATATTTTCACTTATTCCGATAGAAAATAACATTGTGAGTAAAATGACACCGCATTCGCCAATGTTTGGGATTTGACATACTGACACTTTCATTTTTCAATTTTCAATCTGGAGTGATTATGATACTGATAGTGATGGATATTGATTCAGAATATAGATTATAGGTGTCAACGTATCGAAATATCCTCTTAAGATATGTCAATTAGTCACCCTTGTTCCTTTGGGAGAATTGATATGACCTCATACCAACGATATTGTGAATTTTAAATCAACCTGTGAAACAAAGGAAATGTAAAACTTCAACGAAACTTTGAATCGATTGTTTCAACTCATTCAGGGCACTCTAGAATGGAAAAAGAAGAATTGAAATCTCACGATGATGAATGTCAAAAAGTGGCTGGCGGAGTGTCATTGTACTCACTACGTTATTCTCTATCGAAATAACTGAAATTATGCCGGGTGTCATATCACGAATAAGAAAATATGGGTCAAAACAATTGAATACGTCAAATGATGCATATTCCTGTACTATAC